AACAACAAACTAAGTCACAGAACTGGATTAATGTTCTGCGTGGGTGTGGTTACATCTGATCTGGGCGGCCGAACAACCCACTAAGTGTTATCAGAGCCTCCAAAAATCACTGCCAAATTACTGGCACAACATTTCCAGTTTAATTTGAGCGTCTCAATTCTGAGTGTGTGCATTTATTCCCCACGTAGTCGCAATAAACACGTCAAAAGGGGGTGAATTCAGGGTTGGGGAGATTAAGCTCAGCGTCTGAGTGAAGGCAGTGTGTAGCGGCCAGAGGTTGTGAACGCTCCGCCTGCCAGCTGCAGTCGATCTTTCTTGTCTTGTAAGTTGTGGCATTGAGATCAAAACATGGGTCATGGTTCATTACTCTGAATGGCAACTTGGAGCTTTCTGCTGCTACCACGGTTGTGTTGTGTGGAATCTGTGCAGCAGCCTCGTGGGTGAAAAAAAACACAGATTTATAGCTCAGTGGCTGGTTTTTACCTGTTGATAACAATCGAGCTTTAATTGTAAACCTCACAGTGTTTTTGTTTAATTCCTGTTGCGATATGGAGTGAGGGCGGGAAGGTGTACGTCGTCTCGCTGCTGAACGGGAGACTATAGGCGTGTAATCAATAGCTGAAGTAATCATGTCTTTCATTCAGCGGGACGGCGAGCAGCAATCACAGCGAGCAGTGGGAGTGCAGTGAAAATGGCTTTACGAGATGTTTGCCATTAAAAAGGAGGAAAAAAAAAATCACATTTGTCTGACTTTTTCCTCGACATCAACAATATCTACTGGCACTAAAACTTATAGGAGATAACTCCCCGAGCCCCCACATGTCGTCAAGTTTTTAAGTTTTTTGCGTTTGCTATGTTGGAGCCTGTGAGCAGAAATCCACTGTCAGAGTTGACCATCTGCCAAAATACAGCAGATGCACAAATTTCCGTGTTTTATGTGAATTTTGAAGTATTGCATAAGAAATAGTTCAAGGGAACAGCTACATTACCAAAAAGTGCTTGGAAATTTTTAAAAAATGAAATAGATTTATGCTTGCTAAAAGTGGTTTTTGACAAAAAAGGATGCATGCACATAATAGGAGTAGAAATAAGTTAATATAATAAGTTCTGATGTATCGAACATTTAACTCACATCAGCCGTTCACACTTTTCTCGTGCGAAACGTGTTCAACTCCAGCTGACGTGAAAAAACTATTCCAACTTTCCAAGATTTAGATCTGTTTTTCTGTCTTAAATGGCCAAAGTTTAGGTTTTTTATTGATTATTTCAAGCTTCTTCTACTCTGTTTATTAGAGCTACACGTGTCCAGTGTAGCCTATACTGCCACCTTCTGGCGGCTCTATGCAGCCGAGTTTATTCCCTCCAAAGCAGGTAATGAAAAGAAGCGTAGTTCACTTTTTTTTTTCTTCTGTTTGCTTAAAATTTGTTCGATAGCTATGTGGAAACGGGGCAAATTAAGTTTGTTTTTTCTCTACCTGCTAGGTTTTTGAAATATGTCTCGATAACTTCCAACTGCTAGGGCTAGTTATTGTTACAGTTATGATTAATTATTGTAAAGGAGGTGAATTATTGTTATGTAGCTGCACAGTTCTGAGACGATGAGCAGACGTATTATGAGGTGCCTAAACAACTTAAGTAAAGCTAATTTACGTAAACTAAGTAAGAAGAGTAGCTTCTAGTTCTTGGATTAATCTGTATACTATTAAAAATTGATGTTTTATAACGGTTTTAACTGTTTTGTTTTGTTTTTTTAAACAATATGCTGCAAAGATTTTCCCTCTTTTGTTAAAATACACACACCTTGTACTAGTTTTTCTTCTTTAAATGTCCACATTAGGAGTTTGTATTTTCACAAATACTAATTTGTTGTTTTATAACATTTCACTGTAAAATTACAGTTTTTTAAAAGCAAAATAAATAATTATTTTACGTACACTTGCTGTTATTTTAAAGAGAAATGATGTGTATCAAGGATTGAAAAATGGCAATCCGCGTCCTTATTTTAAAGAATTGTCCCTGTTTGGTTAAATTATAGATAAAATTGAGGAAAAGCACAGAAAAGAAGTACAGATTTACACACTGACTGTAAAACAAAGAACTTTATAGAGTCTGTATTTCTATGAACAGCAATTTGTTTTTTTACAACACGAGTCTACAAAATTATACTGTTTTACCACATTTAAGTAAACTAATATTATTACTACTTTTCATATTTATTCAACACATTTTTAAGGCACCCTTGCTAGATTTTTGCACCTTTTTCTTTTAAACAGAGGAATACACTTTAGGGTTTTTATCTGAATCAGAACTATCCCACTTTTCTTTTAGTTTACCCTTCCATTTTTATTTTTTTTAAAAACCTGTACTTTATTTTTGTCTCTTGGTTCCTGCATTTCTTTTCTATATATACCTTTTTATTTTTAGATACACAGACAAAAAAAAAGCCATCTCTGTTGTCTGGTTTCTTGACAGCTCTGTCAGCTGAAGAGGCAATCACTCTGGACAGCAGTAGGCGGCACCGGGTTCAACCGTAGTTCAGGTTAACAGAAACATGTCACGCTGCCCTTCATTTCCTGTTTGTTTTGTAACAGCTGCTTTATTGAACAACACATGAAAACACAGTGATGATTTAAATCACAAGTATTTACATTTTTGATATATTTAGATTTTTTTTAGATCACAAAGTTCAGGATAATTCAGTTTATAAGAAATAAATACAAATGTAATTAACTGTTTACAATACTGATATTACGGTTACAAATATTCTTATAATAGGACATTTTCCAAAGTGTACTGTACCATTTTTCTTTAAAGTTCCCCCTATGTCACCATTGTTCTACGTGGTTTATGGAAATTACTGCATGGAACTGTCTAGTATTCAGAGAACATGATTGTGTTTGTTGGTGAGGTTGTGAGCGCTGAAAGCCAAACGCCGGTACATTCATTGTTGTTAAATCCATAAAACGGCAGCAGCAGTTCTTTGTGCACTCCTGTACAGTACGACTACTGAGCCTTGAATCTTGTGAACAAAGACTATTCACACAATGATGAGACAGATACAGCTAATGATCAGGTTGCTGTTCTCTGTGAAAATTCAAGTCCACATTTTGGACACCCATACGTTCGTTACTTGTCAATCATAAGGGAGCCCCGCCCCTAAAGCATGCAGTTCTTTATCAGCTAATTGTGCTGTATTGAAATAGACTTTTGAAAGCAGTGATTCAGACCATAAAGTCATTAGGAACATTTTTACTGAGGCAGCAAATCAAGTGAGAAGTAGCGTCAT